TCAAAGAAGGTTCACCAAAGCTGTTTTGGGGTACTCCGACAACAAATACTATCACCAAAGTTGTTAACAACTCAAACTAGAACCTCTCTGGATCTGACCTATCAAACTAAACCTTATCTTTATCTACCGGTATTTCCTACTCTTCGGTATCCACCCCTTTATACCGTATGATGTCATCCCGCAATCTACACAATAAGAAAAATATTTTGATGAGTTCGAAAACCTACACAAACCTACGTCAGAACGTTTTCATTATTCAACCATGTGGAACAGACTGACAGTAAACCTCTGTTGCAGTGAAACTACAACCCGGTTCGGAAGTCTCCTTGATGATTTTCTTTCCGAAAGTGGATTGCGTCACCTATTGTGGTGCCTAACCATGGTTTATACAAAAAAGGTCCGTCATCTATTTAATTGACTGAATTGCAAAGTGAGACCCTTGAAACTTTTCACGTTTATTGTAATTTAATTTTATTCATCTTAATATACGAATTCTGCTTATGTACGTATTTATAAACATTACTATTATTAATATCATTGTTGGTTCCTCGACACATTAGATATTCATTTCATATCTTCTTGTCCTTTTAAACATATTTTATTCGTAAACATCCAAAGTTTATAACCAAAAACCAAAAAAATAATCTCTATGTTACTTTTAGACAAATTAACTTCTCTGATTCATTTTATCTTCAACACATATATTATATAACATATAGAAATTTATACTTGATTATCCTTTGAAATTAATTCTGACTATCATAGCATCATTCCAAATTATTATTGCACAAATGTTTATACTCATGTAGTAAATGAGAATACAGGTAAGGACAACCGTTTATGTATTTAGCACAAATCACAAAGTTGCTTGATAAAATAGAAAAACCATACTCAGATACTCTGTCTGCAAAATGTTCATTAATTGTCCCAGGCTTCATTATTCATGGATTCCCACACCAATTACTTTTGTTTCTGTTCTTCCTTTCTCGATCTTCTCCATATTCTGCTGCCAGATACTCTATTCCTACCTCACGATATATACTATATATGTCGACGTAAGTAGCCCACACCACAACAATACCCGGTTTCACACTGTATACTATTACATATATCTACGTGTATTTATCTGAGTGCACTAAATGTTTATTATTTTTTGCTTTAAATTGTTGGTTTACTTCAGAGATCTAGATTCATTACACTAATATTATTATCATCATCATGGTAAGACACTTTCACTAGGTGTCCATTTCTTTTCGCTCTCTTTTTCCTTCTAAATGAATATTATTCTTAAGATAACGAAAATTTTAATTCAAACAATAACTTGTGTTACGCTTAAATCAACTAATAATAATAATAATTTATTCTCAAATAACAGGTTGTTACATGAGGCATACCGGTTTACAGGCAAGATCAAGTTGTTAAAGAAGTTACAATTTTCAATGTTAAAAATTACTCAGCTGGGTTGATATTTCATAAGATATGAATGTAAATGGATTTCGTAAGAAACATGTCAATATCACACTTGGCGCACTTTATGGAGGTAGCGTAACAACATACAACTGATGGTCGAGAATAGTTATATGCGAAGTTGGAGGCTTTTAGAAGTTTCGAACTTATATCCCTTCTCAGACTCATTTTATCTTCACTATACATAAACGACTCATACAAATTGATTATCCATTGCACTGAATTGAGACTTCGATAGCATCACTCCAAACTAAGACTGCACAAACACTTATTCTAACGCCATATCTTACCACAATCATAAGTTACTTACTCATTATTTTGTCTTATTTTATTATTCATTTGGCGATATACACATAGCTGTTTATTCTTGTTCTGTGTTCATAAGCGAGTTTATTAAACTATATGCGTATTTCGCGTCTCCTTTATTTCTATTTACTTAGTTTCTTCCTTTCCTTCTTTAAAATCAACCCAACATTCCTCTCAATTACACAGAACCTGATTTATTATTATTCTGAAGATACGACTAGTATTCTGATTTTACAACCTGCTACCAGTAGCACCTTCTATATACAAAGCTTTCCCCAACTCAATGAAATCAGATGCGAAGAGGTAGGAAGGATATATTTGATACGTTATCAATACATCGCTAAGCGTTTATTCTAAGCTGACTAGTGAACGTAGGAGCTTTGTCCCACGCTGGTTCGAAACGTGATCTGGTGCGGATGCATGACCGAAAGCCTTCAGTTAAACAAGTCCACTTAAACAACGTGGTCAGCATCCAATGTCGAACACTAAATGAGCTATTGATTTGGGGAATTATTTACAGCTACAATTCTATAAATAAAATTTTAATTTTTTTCTTTCCTTTCTCTTTTTCAAATATGGCAAATATAATGTTAACATTATTGAAACTTGTGTATTATTGCATTTTTGAAGAAACCCGAAATGGTTTCTTCATAACACTATTGTACTCATAAAATGTCTGTGAATAATAATTAGTGACTGACTTTTTTAGGCTAACTATTCATACCTAGAACTGTTCAGTTCGTACTCTAATAATCACGTATAGACCAGTATTCGAGTCAAAGGGACCTATGTGAACACAGCCGGAGGTAATGTATTCGACATTTAAATCAGCCGCTGAATAGCGTGCAGAGATTATTGTTGCAAGCAAACATCGCACATCTCCGAACAAAATAAGTCCATCTGAACGTATGCTATACCGTAGATGAGTCTTAGTGTTAGAACTGTTACCATGGCTAATAAAACTCATGCAAAACACTTCCATCTTATGCATGTTGACTCTTGAATGTTTATCCGAAAATGATAAGCCTGGACCTAATAAGTTCCATCCCCTTGATGTTTATAGATCTATCGTGCTTCGTCATGATAGTACTGTCAGTTTTCAGACACAGAGTAGAGTTTCAGAACATCAAAAGATCGACGTACAGAGAACAAACCGTAATATAATAAATTGGTGGTTGGATATGACATATACGTATTTTTGAAGAACTTTTTAGCCTCTCACAATAACCATCCTTGCCTTATTTATACCATTGCTTACTTCCTTTTTTATAAATACTACATGTACTAGTTGGTGTAATTACATAAACAGACACTCAATAATACTGCATTTCGAATTACCATTCAATGTGTAGGTCAGGGACCATGGAGAATTCCACAAACACAATCCATATTTCACTATCTGGTTAACGTGTTGGTGTGACACGCTACTTCTAATACCCTCTGATTGAACAAGCCTATTTTCCCACTGACGCGCCGACTTTCCTATGGCAGATCAATTTTTTCGTCCTCGTATTATTCTATATGATCGACAACCACTGTCCGAAGTGGCATTTGCCCACTGAATAATGTAGGGTTTTCGTATAGGAAGCTGCAAAGCGGTCGTCAAACATGGTTTCAACACAGAGCAAGATGACTTTGTTGAGTTATGCTGTTTCCTTTGTACTCAAGTACAAATTTTCACTAATACCCCCAAGCTCTTTTTACCAAAGACCAATGGATTGCATAAGTACCATCCACAAGTTACAAAGCATTCTTCCACTCGTTATTCCTAATCCAAACCTCCATCTGTATATCTAGTTATTATTCGTACATACTAACATAAATCCAAACCCAAAATATTTTTGAATATTATGATAAATTAATGATCCATTACATGAACTCTGACTAATTTATACTTTTACCAATCTATTTCCTCAAACAAAAATCCCCTGGTTCTTCGTAGATGACTTATAATACACGTTACAAAACCTACATCAATTCCACTTTCTACATTTGCAGACTTTATTTGCCTTTGGGTTTCTTGATGTGCTTCTTCTACAGAGAGCTGAGATAACATAACTTGTGTGACCTTCATAACCCTGTCTCTTTACATCAAACAGAAGTATTTCAGGAACAGCACTACTGAGTAACAGATTCCACCCAAATAACTCGGCGAACCACACAGCACAAGAGGATCAAAATCATACGACGACAACCATATTTTCTTATAAACACCGCAGATGCCTCCATAAGCACGATAACCATACCAATTAGGTCGCTAGACCACTATTGAACCATAGATCACCACTATCAAGCTATGATTAAATAAAGTGAAAATTCACGATATTTTAGAAATTGTGGTCCTTATTGTACTAGCTCCACATTCTAAAAGTTTCGTGCGGAAAAGTTGTTCTACCTTTAGAGCTGATTTTAATCCACTTCCTCCTCCCGTTTTGAGTTGACAGTACTGATGACGATATTATTTTATCCCAGTACGGGCAGTACACACTGCCTTCATACTTAAGGGATCCTGAGTAATGTTTTCCTGAAAAATCTCTAGTAGACAACTGTTTCTTCTTTGTTGTAAAGTTCTAATGTGTTGTGGATCTCTGTAGTCATATTAGATTATTATGCTGTTAAAAGGAATCTATTTCTAGAACGCGGGAGCTGTTATGAACTTTTTTATGCACACAGTGTAGTGACAGGGTCACGTTAAAACAGTAGTAGGCAAATACAGATCGATGTTCGCTAGTAGTAGAAACCAGGACTTGTCACTTGGTTGAACATATATCCCACAACTCTCTATTTCGAGACTCGAACACAGTGTTGTACGATTTAAACGCCATCAAACTATTCACTTAGCTACTGAGTCCAGATAATCACTACTTTGTGCAATTGTGTGATATACAATGATAAAACGCGTTTCCTAGATTCGAATGCTAGCCACTGTCCATCTCTGTTTATAATGATTGTAACTTATGGCGATATCAAGACATTCCATGCCTGATCAATTAGAGTCGTAAACGTCGATGAGAAGATTCAAGCAACCAATACAAGAAGAATTATCATAAAGAAATGTCCTTGGTTTTAGTGTCACACTATTGTCCCTCAAGTAGACACATTGTTGCGTAATTTTTACCAAGCAAGGTAAGCTTACGAAGCGACGCGCCACATCAAAATCGACATGCGTAATTTTCCTAAATAGAAACTTGGGATATTGTAATACGAAGCACTAAAAAATATCAGGAGACATGGATAATTCCATGTATTAGAAGAAATTTATAGCTTATTTTACAAACATACTGCAATTTTTCTTTTCGACGTTAAATGTAAAAGTTATGTTAGTGGAATAAGTATACAGACTAAACTACATGCAAGTTTACGAGGCCTTCGATTTGGAATCTGGTTCTTTATTCCAGTCCTTGAGTCCAGGAGGGAGAGACACATCTTCATCCAAGGAGCCTGGAAAAAGAAACACAAAAGAGTTTACCTATTTCTGTTACAGAAAGAAGTAATTTCAAGTTTATTACGTAAGAGAATGAATATTAATTTCGACAAACCGAACATGTTTGTATAAATTATACTATATCTCAGCATGTATCACTACAGACAAATCAAAAAGACAACTGTATTATTATTTTTAATTACAGTATGGAGCTGATCATATTTTACATGTGTACTAGAGTAGATGAAGTAAAGTCATCAACAAACTACAAAATATATAAATGATAATAATCATTCTTTCATTACTATCAGGTAATAGATAACTCAACAACCTATTTAAATTACTAATCATGATCAGAAGTTATGCCAACCAATCAGTACTTTAGGATTACGAAAGTACACTTTCAGTTAATGATAAAACGAATATCTAGTATCTTCGGTCTAGCATTATTGGACTCTGTATATGTCTGTGAACACCTAATCCTGAAATGCCACTCATTATTTTCAGTAGAAACTGAAACATTATGCTAAGGACGGTCTAAAGCATAATATGTATACAGTATTAGATCTTTGACTATTTTAGAAGATACTTATCTTGTAAAGTTCATATGGGGTAAAGGGTTACAAAACTTTTAAACTAGCAATCACTTCACAGTTGTGACATCAAACTTAGTTGAGGGGATTGAGACTCCTTATTCTCATTTAGTACCTGTACCATCATCACATGTAGAGAAGACCCAGCCCTAAGTTAATTCAAATTAGTGTTATCATGAGGTTAATGTGAGGAGCTACCGCACTTGAAACTTACAAAGACGATGTACTATCGGCTTTACATAGTTGTCTCATGAGTTCTGCAGTCACATTACTGAATAGTGAAAACGAAAAGAGATTCATTTTCCCTTCAAAATCTCTCGATAAGTGTCTTTTCAGAAAACGGAACATAAAATTTGTACCTTTAACATCAATCAAGCTAACCTCGATCACGGTCAAATTTCTTCAGTAACTAATATTTTTTATACTTTTACTATCAATCTTTAGATTTTTTTACATCTGCGCCACAAATAATAACGATTCAAGTTTACGAAATGCCACATGAAGTCTTCTGGAACCGCAATTGATATGACATGCTAGAGGGTACATTTCTGGAACGCTAAGTAAAATCGGAGAATAACTCTAGAACCACGGATCGTCGATGTCGAAATTTATGTCCACGATTCTAGTGCAGTCATTTACTTATTTAGTAAGAGGGTTCAATATGACATACTCTACTTGTACCTAAACAACAGCTTCACTAAGCTCGGAGGCATAGCAGCCAGTCTCAATGTTTCTCCACGTCGACATTTTATATGGATCAGAATAAGTGATAAAATGAAAACTCGAAGTTTTATGCCTACGATTTCACGGAATGTAGCATACATGGAATAAAGAGTGACCTTAGCCAGAAGTTTTATAATGCCTGTAGAAAGGCAAACGCTAAGATGTCGTAATCACACTATTGGGAGGTGGGGGTTGCCAAATAGAGACGTGGATGTGTTAAATAAATGCTTTAAACTGCATCTAACACGCATTACAATAAGGTAGAGACATATCTTATATTACAATCACGGGACAAGACTGATGAACAGTAAAGATAGTAGTAATACATACAAGTTTGTCTTCTTGTTTCGCGGAGGCTATTAAACATAGAAAGCTAATACTCTAACAGATATATAAGTAAAACTAATATTGTTGAGAATAACCAAAGACTTCTGTTATTTTGTTAAACGCAAGAAATATTAGTACACGAACTATTAGCTTCGAAGCTATAAATATTACCCCAGTTAATCTTACTGATATTGCTGAGCAATCTTATCTAAAGTACTCTGAAGTTAATTCACTGGAATACATTTCTACTCCTTAAATTTTCATTGCTCCTTTCTTTATATCACTAAGAGTTAGAGGTTTTATGTAATCCCCTAATAGGTTGTTGATGGATAGAAGTGGACGGAAGATTGACTAACGGTGAATTAAACCTATGTTTAAAGTAAACTGGCTTTTAATTCCTAATTACTTTTAGTTCTATTGTTCACTACTAAGAAACTCCATTGCGTGAACGGCTTTTCAGACATTGGAATTGCTGTCGTTTTCATCACCAGCCAGAAATGAGTTTGCGAGGGATTATTGATTCGAGAGAGTCCTCCATAAGTCTTTTGCTCAAGTTACCTAAGGATATTATTGCTGTTCAAAAGCAGATCACTCTAGGATTCAGGACGTACATCCAAATTATATAACTCTAAGCACTGAACTAACTACTTAAAAATGTTATGAGTTGTTTTAGAAACTTATTCGTAATAGGAAAATTTTAAAAAATGGAAGATAACTTACCAGGACCTACGAGTTCTTCATATGTGCTTTTCTCCACAAACGGCCTTGGACCTAATACTTCAATCAAGTCTTCTTTTTGCAACTGCTCTTTGTCGAGTAATTGTAGAGCTAACTGATAGAATATAAGCAGAACAATGAAAGAATTAATGAACTTTAGAGCAACTAAACATTTTAAAATTCAACACAACACTTCTAAAAAATAAAAACGAAGAACTTACTTTATCGACAAGCTGTTTTTTCTCTCTTAATATCGTAAGTGTTCTTTCGTAGGCAGACTGAACAAGTTTTCTAACTTCTTCGTCTATTATTTGTGCAGTATGCTCAGAATATGGTTTGGAAAGAACCATATCACCTTGCTGAGGCAAATCGAAACTTAGCAACCCAACCTTTGAACTGAACCCTAGTTGGACAATTTGGGCATAAGCTGATCGAGTTACACGCTGTAAATCGTCCACTGCTCCACTTCCAACTTTACCGAAAAATACTTCTTCACTCGCTCGACCCCCTAATGCCAAACACATTTCATCCAACATTTGCTCTTTAGTACGCAAATATATATCCCTAGGTTGATACTGAGCATAGCCAAGAGCTTTACCACGAGGAATTATTGATACTTTCAACAATGGATTACAATGTTCTAAAAACCAACCAACAACTGCATGCCCAGCTTCATGGTATGCAACTGTTTTTTTTTCTTCGGGTTGTAATACCTGGGTAAACAAAAAAATACAAAACAGTTACCCCGCTCCAACATTAGGTAGTAGAATACATCAGATATAAACCTAGACCATAAAAGAAAAAATAGCAACATTCAGTAGCATAACAGAAATCAGCTTACAGTGAAGAGAAATCAGAATAAAGGTCTGTTTCAGCAGTGCTAGAACAATCTACTATTTCCTGTATATATAGCCTGTTACAGTTCCATATCACAATCATAAATGTGTACTACGGAAAAGCATTGCGCATAGTTGAAGTCTGCGAGTCAGGTAAATTATGAGACGTGGTTTAAAAACGAAAGATGTTACAAAGCTAACTAATCTAAAGAATATTTAGTGATGAGAGGGAATCAATTAGTCATATCATATAAAAACAAAAATTGCGGCAACAAAATTCATTGGTTCAGTTTGTAGAAAACATCTAGCAGGTAATGATACTTGTTACGTGAATTTGATTCGAATTCAAATATAAACAAACAGCGACGAGTAATACTTTATGCACAAATTACATAAAGAACGTTAATGTAGAAAATACCAAGTTGTCAAACACAGAGCAGCACAAACCTTGAGATCAGATCAATCTCTTTTTATTATTTCCTGCCTATCAACCCTTAGAACTTAGTCATGTGACCTCATTCATACAAAATTACTGGCACTAGGACAGTAGTTCTTATTTTTATAATTCACGAAGATTATGCTTCAGAGTCATGACAGCCTGACTGCGTCAACCTGAAAGACACTTAAAATAACAGGATAGCAGATTTCACCTACATGACACATTTTATCAGCACTCACACAAACATATGGGGATTGGAGAAATAAAATTCCCGGACCACATTCACTTCACATACAGTTAATATGTTTTTCAAGTTAAAAAGAAAAAATTGTTGCTAACTGATAACCACTTTAGCACAAGGGTTATCATTTGATTCAGCTTTACTACTGAAAATGGAACAATGGTTATTTAAACTTATCAGTTAACGTGACTCCGTACAGCTTCGTGTACTTCACTTTGAGCCACACTTTTATGTGATCTAGTCAAACTAGTGAACGAGAACCCAGGCGGGGAAAACCAATTTATTGTTTGATGCAAAATCACACAGTGTTTTAATAAAATGTTAAAATCATACATTAAATACATTATACGCACATCCACTTTGCGTTGTCCTTCCCATACTCCACTACTCCTTTAATCATGTTTTCATTTCAACTACTCTACGATTTCCTTTCAGTTCTCTTCAATTTTCTGCTGCCAGGCATTCTACTTTCAATTGTTGCTACATACTAATTATGTCTGTCTGCATAAGTAGCATACGCCACAACACCATTAAGCTTTCAAAATAAATTTAGGGGGACCAGAGTACGAAAATGTTCCAAACTCGTTAAATGTCAAACGATTAACACCTAAGTCAAGAATCCTTATCCTCTTCTGGAGATACGTACAGTTGCGTTCGTTAAATACTGGAATCCATGATCATTCCTTCGTAGCACAATGGAATCATCTGTGGCATAGGTTGTTGTAGTTATCCTAGCTTTTAGTTCAACTAAGAGAAAGTATCTTAAATTCTGAGAAACTTTAGTCCTAAAACACTGTAACACAATTACCCCATAACTGTGCATTACTTCATCTGAGTTGTTAAACTGATACTCACATACGATTTTTGAATTCTTTTTTTCCTTCTGAATACTCTTCTTCAAATTTGGTAGTTTCCATCTTATATACCCTTAACTATGTTTGCAACAAACACATCATTAAATACTGACAAACAACAATACCTAAGTAATGACAAATTCAAAACAGAGAAACTGGATAAATACATCATGTCAAAACGGAACAAAAAAGTGAACGACATTACATGACTTTTCTTTTCTAACCCAGCAATTACACGGTCGATAGCTTTATCAAAATGGATCAGATTGACGCTATGAGCATCTTCTCGCGCAGCAATTAACGCTGCCTCATTACACACACTTGCAATATCCGCACCAGAAAATCCTGGAGTACGCGCAGCCATTTTGCGAGCTACAAGTTGCATATCATCAGCTAATTTAATCGGTTTCAAATGTATCTAGTATCAAAACATAAACACACATATTTATGAAAACTGATGAAGGTAGATAACATAGGACAGAAGATGAATAAGGGCAACAAAAATTCGCCAATAATCATAACACAGAATTATAAAGTGATTATAATTTCCCTATATAATCATTAACAAACTACGTAATCCATTTCTCTCTCTCTCTCTCTCTCTCTCTCTCTCTATATATATATATATATATATATATATATATATATATATATATACGGTTTTTCCTAGACAGCCGGTATCTGCTGTAATGCTGCTTTCTCCAAATGGAAGGAGAGGGACAACCATAAAAATAACACATATCACCTTGCCACACGGATTTTTGATTTAGAGAGTGACTCCTTCTAAACTAAAGACATAACACAGCAAAAACTCGCAAAAAGCTCGTATATAGCTGGCCTTGAGAAACTGTCCTTCAGGCATTGTGATCAGATTTTTAGCTCGTCAGGGCCACTTTTAACAGTTTTCTTATCAAGCAACTAAAGAACTATCCAAGATGTGGGTAACCGAAAACTGATAGTTGCTTTCGAACCATTAACGGTACATGAGACCACCTTGTTTACAATCAAATCCCATCTTCGTTATCAGATATCAGTTCCGTTTCCTTTGTCAAATCTCACCTCCTATTTTGGCTTCTTACACGTGTGCCACCGATGGTAACAACTCAAGTCCACAAAATTTTACTCCAGGTCTTCTGAAATCACACCCTAGGCTACTGATTGTGATTTTTTAAGTTCGGGTTCTATTTCAAACCGGACAACAGGCGTCACTAGCAAGGAGCCCAGAGTCCTGTGCATCGATGTAGTGTCCCAGAAATCTAAAGACCCACCAAATATCGATAACGTAGTTAATAATTTGTACATGACCGTGAAGCTAACGTCATTTTCATACAAAATACTGTATACAAGGAGCCCCGAGATCGAGAATTAAAGAGACATTTGAATACGATGATTGGGACCTGCCGAAATAGACAAAGATTGTACCTTTATATTAGGCAGGATTCACGAGGAAGAAAGAATTCAGTTAATTGTCTGGAGAGCAATTATTTTAAGTGAACACGAAATATAACGGGTGCTATTGGTAACAAACGAACAGTAGAATGATCTGAATTACAGCTTCTTTTAAATGAATAATTATAATTAAACCACATATGCAGCTTACAGCCAATGAAATCTATTGATGTGTACTTTATCGTGATCTCAGGCTAACTATGCACTAGGCTGTTGTGGAGTATTCAAACTTGACAGACTTCAAACATAACACAACAGATTCGAAATGAATGCAGTTCATCACATCCCTGTGCAATTCAATATCAGTACATTAACAGAGCAGAAAAAGAGAGCACAAGGAATCTACTATTGCTATATATTGTCAATGATGGCTTAAATATGTTAGAGTTAAACTGGTCCAATATTCATCAGTTTGATGATACCGCAAATACAGAATATACAACTGCGTTATGAAAACATAAGATCAGTCTTTTAATGCGTCATCCTTCACTTAACGCAGAATATGTGTTGATACCAAGTAGTTTTGAGATATACAAAAGAGCCCTTAGGATTCATACACAGATCATGGGGGTAGGAATACATATAGTTTTAACTTGGTATAGATATGCATTTACGTTTAAATTTACTCTCATGATTAACACTGACATTTTAACTGAGTATGCAAACGGAATACAAATGTTCATAAATTCAAGATGCAAGATGTACAAACCTTAAATATTGATGCACGACCTTTGATATCGGGCAACGATACATAGATTTGACGGTCAAAACGTCCAGGCCTAAGAAGAGCTGGATCTAGAATATCAACACGATTGGTAGCAGCTAGAACGACAACATTTTCTTGAGTAGTAAACCCTAACAAAAATGAAATAGTCATTAGGATTCTTGCAAACATCTATAATGATAATCAGCGAGAAGATTATACAACACTGATGACCAACATGGATGTATCCATGCATCATCTCAGTTGTTACAATTCATCATTTGAATTAAATCGACATAAATTAAAGTAAATACGAGGTTAAAAAATTTCAAAAGTATCCTTTAGTGATAAGTATGCTTTGAACGAGAATGAAATAAGGTTTTGCATAAAAAACCAAGGTCTCAAATAAACTTAACTTTATTCATATAAGAACTCTCGTCTAAATTAGAGCGAATAGTTTCACAGTATTTGAGCGCCGAGTTGATGTAAGACATTATATAGGAATAATATATATTTGTAAAAACTCAGCGAATAAATTTATAGTAACTTTATTTACTTTGAATATCTGAAGAATTTAATAAATGTACACAAGTTCAGTGAACAACTAACTTACAAAGCGAAATGTGTGCTTTTGCTATTAATACCACTAGATTTAAAGGTTAAAATAACTTCTACTTTTTATTCAACCAACATATTCTATAGGAATAAACTGTGTTGTATATTTATGTCTACATAAGTAATAAACATGAAAACCGATCTTAATTGTCATTAGAAAGGAAAAGCCCCCAAACAAAAATCACTAAAGAATAAAATGAAACTTTCGGTAAAAATACAATTATAAGTTGAAGTTTGATTTCAGGCCATTATCAACATTTGGCATGAAATAGAGCACTTAACCAGAGATTACATAAGAAAAAATCCCAGGTATAAATTTAGTCGAAAACAGCAAATTGCATCCTAAGTACAAAAAAGTAGTATGGAAAATACTTCGGTGATTTCCTGTTCATTAACTTTGATATGTTTTGTTACTATTTTCAACAATACTTTTTTAAACGGCGTCTATTATACTCACTATTTCTGTATAAATTTGATCTAAAATGCTTGGATTTTCTGTCGGTTCCTTAGATCAAATCGGCTTTCATCTTGAAAGTTATACTGCCTACTCGAGTTATAAGGAATTCCTTAGTGAATCAAGTACCTAACTTATCACAGCCATAATCAAACATAACACTCATTGGAGAACGTATTCATTAAAAAGTTATACTTGGTTAAAATATTTCCAAAGCACTCCATTTAGTAAATTGTTTTGTAAAAATAATAACCTTTAGTTTAACTACTCCTAACAGTAATAAAAAATCTAAACAGTGATCACCCAATGGTTTAACCCAAGTTACTCAGATATCACGTTTATTGTGCTACACTGGGAAATAAAATATTCGCTAAGAGTTTTCCTTCGATCCATACGGACAGTATGTAGTACACTAATGTGGAAGTTTGAAAATTATAAATGCAGAAAAACTATGCTCCTTGTTTAATTCAGCATATTAGTAAAATGAATCAAAAATAAGCAGAAAGCTAATGATGATTGTGTCCATACTGGCGAACGCTTGTAATCACACAACCAGAAAATGATCTACAAATCCTTGGGACAAACTTGTTTTCACTGTTTTATCGGTAACTTATAAAGACTGTTTGCTGTAAAAAAACAATTTCGTGTTAAAAACGTTACAGAGAAAACCAAAATGTCAATTTAGGATAATAGTACCGTCCATTTCCACAAGTAGTTGATTGAGAGTATTTTCCCGTTCCTGATGACCGAAAGATGTACCAGATCGCTTGCCACCAATAGCGTCAATTTCGTCAATAAACAATATACAGGGAGCTTTGTCTCGTGCAGAGGCAAACATATCGCGTACTCTTTTCGGTCCTACACCAACGAACATCTCTAAAAATTCACTCCCAGAAACGGAAAGAAATGGAACATTCGCTTCTCCAGCAGTCGCCTTAGCCAAAAGTGTTTTTCCAGTTCCAGGAGGACCCTAAATTAAGAGAACACCTGTTGTTAAGCCCGAGGAAAATTGATAGCGAGTGCAATCTTCTAAGATTGAATTACAAAAAAAATTCATCACTTATGGGGAAAATTTTAAAATATTCACAGCAAACCTGAAGGCTAAAGTAAATCGAGACAAAATGATGAAATCTGTGTAGTTAATTGCTGACAGAGTGAATTAATACAAAAAATAAGTGGTGCATTTCAAGAAACTATGCTCTTTTTCATCCCACAAACAGTTATCATACACCTAAGAAAAGAAATAAATGTATGCTGATTTAGGTTGCCACGCCACATATACGTACACCTAGAAAATAAGTTAACAAGACAGGAAACAAAAGGTGAGAAATAAAAGCCAACTTCGATGACATTCAAAATAGAAATGCAAATTGGGAAAAATAAGTGAGTTCGATGAGTGTAATATTAGCAACGACACAACCCATGAGTTCGAGAAAGATTCCGTTTAATAAGCAGAGGTTAACAATTAGGTTGTTTATCATTCAACAAAATGTCCAGTCAGATTTTCAACTAATCAAAGCTTACAATAAAAAAACGGTTAAATATTTTTCATTGATTGACCCAACTAGAGAGTAAGCTATCCAAAAGAATTGATAAGACTATGTAGCAGCATGAATAGGAAGTTTTCGAAGAGAACACTTCACTACAATCACATCCGATTATTATTATTGTTATTGCTGCCTTGTTGTCAAATAAGTTGCAATATAACCGACGATCTTAAGTTGGTTTGAGGATAAAAATTAATGGCACAGTCACTTAGTTTTAAGCAATGTAGGACTCAACATATATGTATATTGGTTCAATTTATCACAAAACAGTACAACGCTATGAATACCAAAGTAGTAGCATACGAGTATTAAATAAGCTTAAGCAGGGAGAATGCACTTCGAAGACGGATTTGTGGAATATGATGTATAAGATCATTTTAAAAGTCAGGAACTAAGCGAAGACTATGAGTGAATGAATCTTCCCTAATGTAAAAGATCATAAATTTCGTAAACCAAAGTCTACAAACACCGATCACTATTTTCACATGGACTCCAACAAAGTAATCTGTGTCTATCAACATGGTTCAGTCAAGTTGCTAATGACTTCATGGATCGATATCATGTCTTGGTCTGGCCCCCTTTAGCCTTTTTTTAGTTTACTACTTTTATACCAGCAAACGTCGCACGTCGAGGTGGGCAGCAGATAGTCATTTTATACGTATTCTATCCACTTCCATCGATGAAGACCCCAAAAATATCTCACTCATTTAACCGTACGATCAGCCATCACTCAGCCAAATCATATTATTCGATAGACACAGAATTTGTTTTTAACAATTTAAAAGTCATTCACCATTAATCACTAACCCCAATTGATAATAAAATGAAATTGGTTCTAAAATAGAGATAACAAGTGACAAATAGAACGTGCAATAGAAAATCGTTGAAATATAAACTAATAAACGGACAGTAATTATGGCACATTATAAGACTGTAAATCAAACCACAAAAAACTAACTTTTAGGATGGCACCACGAGGAATCTTTGCTCCTAACGCTTCATATTTTGTTGGATTTTTTAAGAAGTTAACAAATTCAATTATTTCAAGTTTTGCTTCTTCACAACCTGCTACATCGCTAAAACGTACACCAATTTTATCTTTTTCTATTAAACGCACAGGTGATTGTCCGAAATTGAATAATCCTGAACCCAGTCCTGACTAGAAAAAGAAGGAATCGGTTGTATATGCATAACATCAATATACTTTCACACTTAAACCTATTATTAAATTTATTAACTGATTTTCGTGCTACCATAAACACTGCTTACCTTCCTTACAACACCACCAGATGCAGGCCGTAAAGAATACACAGCCATTAAGAACAAAGAAATATAGAAAATGCCATATAAAACATCTGATCTACAAATGAGAAAAAAGGATAAGAGCATGGACACACAAGAGGTAAAACAATAGGATTCGAAATCCTGCAAATAGTCGTGAATAATAAGCACGTGGGAAATCTCCAAGTCCCACTAAATCTCGGTTTCTGATATATATATACTAAATGAAGGAAATCAGAATCCATGGTCGTGAAAACATAAGAAACTAGGTTTACAGAAAAACACTTGGTATTCATAGCAACTTCTACAAAATTGGTCAAATATTCACTCAGCTTTCGGTTAGGCCTTATGTGTAAATATCAACAAATGACAAATGATGTACAAAATATGAGAAAACCAACATTTAGATACTGAATATTCCATTTCGCAGAAACGCATATTTTGGTTGTAGTACAAAAAACTTATCCGTCTATTTGTTTTAAAGAGATTGTGTACAGTTCATTAGAGGTGACAAAAACAACTGAACTGTAATTAATTTTTGCTCAGGAGAATACAATTTTTGTGACATTGAACATGCATTTATCCCACAGTTACTACTTCGAATAAAGTTGTTTTACTCTTTGATATAAAGTGAAGGATTAATTCAAGTAAATAACAAGACCAGCTAAACGATTAGCAATTTATGTTTAATGTAATATAATATTGACAGCAAAATATTTTGAGCTTATAACAAAAAAAGTTTTCTACTGTAAAACTATCCAAGTAGTGTACAGGTACTAACGACCGTGAATGGTTTCACTTGAGACTGTAATGAACCTCAAAACCTTCAAACCTCATCAAGCTTTTCAATAGGAAGTGAATGACTGACAAGTGTGGGAAAAACCTTTTAGTTAACTGAATGATTATTAGTTAGATGCGTTGTAATAGTAGAATGACAGGAAGGTTTTAAACTTCCAATGTACTGACTTTATTATGATCAGATGAGACAGACGCGAATGAAATACATATCCTACTTAATTTTGTGTATATTTATCGACTTAATTTGAGTTAGTAAATAATTGGATAAAACATATCAAATATGAAAATGATTTTGAATACATATATTTCACACATTCGTTAGCGCAAATACAGAATAAAGAAAAGCAGAGTTTAAATGTATCTACTCAACTTATCTAAAACACGAATCAAAATTTGTGGACATAAAAGATACAAGCAACCATAGAGACACATGAGACCATACACACATCTCAAGGTCACATACGAAGACGACAGAATGAGTGGTGAGATCAGAATTAATCATGATCAAACGTCGAAGCAAATTACGATAAATAGTAGCTCCTACAAAACGTATCATTTTACCTCTGTAAAAACAAAGTCCTCCAAGTGTATGAAATGATTTACTGATAGACAATTATTTTTTGTCAACTGTGAATTGTACACTGTAAATCTATATAAAATCTGTAGACTAATTTCATACCAAAGTTAATGATAGTTCTCTCTGATGTGCCCCCAAATGCCCTGGTACGGCAGAGAGTGAGTAGAGTCAGCTCTCCCTCTCCAAATGCTCTTACGTGGCCATGTGCATACTAGCACTGACAGAAAAATCCTACTCATTACCTTTTATCGCGGCGGCGTTGTTTAAAAAATTGAGAGGACGATAAGCGAATGTCCGGCGCTTTAACCGGTTTGGTTGATACGAAGGACCCACGTAGGGGAAATGGAAAACTCTGACTCCAAACTAATGGTGCACATGGGCTCCAGAATCCTTAGGAAACAAATGGCGTGTGAACCTATTGTTGGTCACCGGCTACCATGGGACTGCATCACTTTACGTTGCTCGACTGCCTTGTGGATAAGACCTTTAGATCAAAGGCTCAGGGAGTGGCCTCCCTAAGTGAACTGCCTGCTTCAGTTTGGGCACCCGGGCAGTATCCCAGCCCTCACACAAACCGAATGATTTTATGTGGCGAATATCTATTTGGTGTCTCCTTGTACCAATGTTTATGTATTTACATAAATATAAATAATGTCAGTGATTAGAAAGTTCAACTTGTAGCCATTAAATTACAAGTTTGAACCCCAATCTACCTACTTCGATTTTGATGATCAGAAAGACCTTAGACTTAAAGTGTGACTCGAAGTTATTTACACAAATCTGTGCCTTGCAAATAATTTTTAAAAAAGTTAATTAATTATAAGAAACCAATGATACTTACGGCTTTAGACGACTGCTATAGGTTATAAACGTTCTATGCATAGGATCTATACCCATATGAGCCTCCATATCACGTAAACTTCGTTCAAAAGTGTCAACTGAACCGATTTCAAACCAATAAATTTTCTTGCTGAGATCAACTGATCCATACGACTCGGACTCTGCGCCTGGTTGGAGATGAATTCGAACCCAAGATTTGTTCACAACCTCTAAGTGATGAACAGCGCCCCTACGAAAATATACTGATATAAAATGAGATGCACATATATATTATACAAAGAAATTTTCAGTCTGTTTATTAAACATAAGCAGTTTTACATTATACTTTTAACCGTGACGCATCATTAATTTAAAGTAATTCGACTGAAGAGGTTAAAAGTTATGAGTGCTACATTCAAGTCATCAAAATGAAAAGTTATACGAATTCTAAATTTTTTAATAATCCGAAGATTTGATGTCTTAGAATGATTGCTGACATTTAATGATGGTGATGAGGTTCGACAATGGGTATTCGGGTGCAGTAATGATGATTCAGTCGGTTCGAACATATTTTGCGGATGTCATCCAGCGGCTTCCACATTGTGCTTCATTTACACTCACTAATACTGGTTAGAATAAGGAGATGGGTCAACCAATAATATGGTATTAGAGATGAAAGAAAGCTGGGTAAGACTGACATTTCTCGTAGGTCGAGGTCAGTCAGTCAGTCACAACGTAGAACTTCGTACGTACGTACATCAGTTCGAGTTGCCATACCACATTAGCACAGAGATGCAGTTGTCGATTCAATTCCCATAGTGGTAGAAGTAGTAGGAGTATAATCAGAAATCCAAAAGATTAGGGTTTGAAGAAATTATTGAAGGAGTATAGTACAGTGAAATAAATTTGGAAAGAGAAAAAGATAAATACATGAGGAATTCAGAAGATTAGAATTTGGTAGAACACAAAGAGTGGATGCATCTTCGCCATTGCAAACGATTTTGAGCCATGTCATTCAAGGTCTCTAACCATCGGTTGCTGTCATCTCGCGAATCCCAACCAGGTAGTCTACACCTACCAACATGGCCCAGTCCACTTGTCAGTGACTTCATTGATTTGTGCCACGTTTTGGTCTGGCCACCCCTAGCTTTCTTCCAACCTACTCCTACACCATGAAACATTGCACGTCGGTGGTTGGGCATATGTAACACATGTCCCAGCCATCTCAACTGATGAAGTTTCACTACTTCATCAATCGATTTGCCATCCCTACCTAGCACTCGTTTCCTAACAACTGCATTACTTACCCGGTGGTCCCAGGATATACGAGCAATGCTTCGAAGACACCTATGATCGAACACTAGTAGTCTACGAATATCCTCTACTTTTATTGGCCATGTTTCACTGCCATAAAGTAGGACGGAGCGAACTGCTGCACAGTAAACCCGTCCTTTGGTTGCTAGACGGATATCTCGCCTACGCCATAAATCGCGCAAGTTGGCGAAAGCTAGACGAGCCTTCTGTATCCGTGCTGAGATTTCGTCACATACCAGACCACAAGGGCTGATGAGACTCCCAAGATAAGTGAAGCTGTCGACACGCTCAACTACTTCACTCCCTATCATTAGTTCAGGTGTCGATGCAACCCAATCCTGAAGTAACATTTTGCACTTCGAGGGAGAGAATCGCATCCCGAACATGCCTGCATTGTTGCTTATAGTAGTCAGAAGACTCTGCATGTTGTCAGCGTATTCACCGAGTAAAACTATGTCGTCGGCGTATTCTAAGTCAACAAGTGAGCCTCCTGGTAAAAGTTCAACTCCTGGAGGTTTAGCTGATGAAAGTGCTATCTCTAAAAGTATGTCAATGACAAAGTTAAACAAGAATGGGGAGAGTGGACAGCCCTGACGAACGCCACTTGTGGTAATCAGTTCTGATGACAGTTCGCCATAGGCTCTAACTCGACCAGTTGTGTTCGAGTAGAGAGCCTTTATGAGGTTAATGTACTTCTTTGGTACTCCTTTCAGTGACAAACATTGCCATAGAACCTCACGATCAACGGAGACAAATGCCGCCTTAAGGTCAAGAAGTACTACTATTGTGGGACGTCTGAATTTGTGTCTATGTTCTAGAACCTGACGTAGGGTGAATATCTGGTCTATGTAACCACGTCCAGGTCGAAAACCAGCTTGGTTTTCTCTAGTCTGCTCTTCACGAGCTTTGGTTAGGCGACCTAGTATTATTGAAGCTAATATTTTAGACACTATATTAGTCAAACTGATTCCTCTGTGATTGTCACAGGAGGACTTTTGTCCTTTCTTATAGACTGGCACAATCAGTGATTGGGACCAGTCAGATGGAATTACGTCCAGTTCCCAGATTCTACCTAAGACCTCAGTTAATCTCACTGATAGTACTGGACCACCATCCTTAAAAATCTCAGGGGTCAACCTGTCAGGGCCTGCTGCTCTCCCTCGCTTCAGATTTCCCATAGCTTTTTCAACCTCACAGAGGGTTAGAGGACTTACATCAATTTGCCATTCAGGACGACTGGGGATCGTGGGTAATTGAAGTGTGGCTGAAGGCCAGTTGAACTGATCCCTAAAGTGTTCTGCCCATCGATCCAATCTCCTGGATTGAGAATGAATAATATGCCCATCTTTATCTGAGATGGTTTCACTGATATTCGGGTTCCTAATACCGGTTTCTTTAACGAGTCTGAATAGCTACCTACTGTTACCTATTGCCGCTGCCTTTTCCATCTCTCTTGCTTTCGCTACCCACCACTGTTCACGATCATTACGTAGGCTTCTTATAAGCCTGCGCTTAAGTTGACTCCGCTCTTCGTTATGCTCAGAGCCAGGTGGGATGAGTTTACGAGCATCTATCAGTGCGGTAGATGCTACCGAGATCCATTGTTTCTCCCTAACGTTATGGTTTACCTTACTAGCGGATATCACTGCTGTTTCCACAGCTTTTCGGATGTCATTCCACGCTGCCTCAGGGTGGACACAACTTACATGGCTGCCTAACTGTTTTCCTAGTTGTTCCTGAAATATATTCTTAGCTTGCCTATCATTAAGTAGAACCCTTAGAGGCTTCCCTGCAGTGTCTTTCCTACGACCAGTAAGACGCAGACAGATACGTGCTCGCAGGTCGAGGTCGTAGAGATGATGCGACCCGGCGGGTATAGACATGATTAGATATAGCTAAGAATAGAAAAACGATGGTGAATGTGTAGTTTACTTGTCTATTCTTTATAAAAAATGAGTGAAACTCCTTTAACTGTAAGGAACACAATTAGTGAATAAACTATATTTTCTATTGTATATCATTCTTAATTTATATATATATATACTTATCTACTTTTCGAATTTACTTCCGTCCTTACTTTCCAATGTTATCTCAGTATTTTGTACAGCGCATTTTATTTTCAGTGAAAAGTTGTACCGGGTTACACTCATCAGTCAGTTATATGCAACGTAGGACCGGTTCATTTTGCTATACATTGAAATAGAGAAAAAATTCCAAAACAAATCTAAGAGTACACTTAGTATTGTTTGTTTGGATCTTCCCATCGATGTGTTTAGGACTGCAACTGGTCAGTCTCTAATTGGCATATGTGCATACTGTGCGTATTGCCTCGATATACCTTAATTCACAAGCATGGTAAGCAAGTGGCTATCAGGACTCAGTGGCCGAGTGGATAACGCGATGGCGTTTGAAGCGAGGGTACTGGGTTCGAGTTCCAAAGTGAACATCAACTCTGAGATGCAGGTAAATCCAGCTGACGAGTCCCAAATAGGACGAAACGTGCGTCCTGGATTCCACTGCTAGCCACTATCCATCTCTGCTTACCAAATCTAAGAGTAGTAAATATAAGAGAAGTTGTAGCTGTTGTCGTAGTAGTAGTGGTGTATAATAAGTATAGAAGAAAAAGCACAAGATTTTAAGAATCTGGATTTTAGGAAATATAAAGAGTACATGCGTCAATTTCACTATGAACGATTTTAAACTACGTCAGTCAGTCTACAAACACCAATCACTATTTTCACATGGACTTCAACAAGGTAGTCTGTATCTATCAACATGGTTCAGTCAAGTTGCTAATGAATTCGTGGATCGATATCATATCTTGGTCTGGCCCCCTTTAGCCTTTTTTCAGTTTACTCTTATACCAGCAAAAGTTGCATGTCAAGGTGGGAGGCAGCTGGCTACTACCTTACCAGACGATCCGTCACCTGTACTTAGTATCTTATGCCTACCACCAATAATCCTGTCAGTTGTTCGTCAATACGTAAAGCACTTCAAAAGACCTATATTCAAAAACGTTTAGCCTATGCATGGCTCCTAATTCCCCAAACTAAATTTCACCCAAATGAAGTAGGACGGAGAGAACTGTCGCTCACAGTAATCTTTTATTGAAATACGGACAACCCGCCTATGCCACAAGTGATGTAAGTTGGCAAAAGCTAAACAAGCTTTACAAACCTGTAACAATATTTTGTCGGACACCCACCCACTAGCACTGATGAGACCTCTAGGGTAGTAGTAGATATTCTTAACTACCTCACTCCGTATTGTCAGTACAGGGGTTGACATAGAACAACGCTGAGGCAAAATATCGCTATTAGAGGGAGAAATATTTGCCAAACGTGTTTACATTATCGCTCAGAGATCAGAAGACTTGGTTTGTTGTCAGAGTTTTCATTAAACATAGCTATGTTGTCTGTACATGCTAAGTCAAAAAGTGAATCTTCTGGCACTAGCTAAATTCCTGAGAAACCAGACAACGAGTGTTGACTTTAAAAACATATCCATTTAAGTTAAATAGGAATGAGAAAATTAAATAATCTTAGTAAATACTACTTTTAGTTGCAAATTCTGATTTCATATGGATTGAATTAACAGTCTAGAATTTAACAATCAGAATTATTTCAACATTTCCAAACTAAATCAGAGAGAACAGATAGGTCTTGTAGTAAGAAGCATGAATGCCGTTAACTAAGTGGGATAATAGTTTCGAAACTATCGTACTAATGTAAGCGTTATGATCTCCGGAACAATTACGGAAGTATTTTAATCACAAGTAGCTGACCTTTTAGGCGATATTGATGAGATACAGTATTAATGTGACAAGTTCAAACTTATGGAGAATTTGAAACTCAAGAAACACGGAGAGACCACCTGTGTATTATGCTTCAAGTCAAATCCATCATAAATGAACTGATGACAAGGTTTAAATACTCAAGGAAATACGGTTTCACATTAAAAATTAACAAAATAATAGTTCATATGTGAAAAGTGACCTTTAATGATTGAAGATTCTTAGTGTCTGCAACAAACTATTGACATTAACAAAGTAGAAACGTGAGACGTAGACAAGAGAGATAAAAGGAATTCAAGACTATGAAGTGCTATATTACTTATTAACTATCACCCGCATTCCAAAACAGGCTAGCAATTACGGTTAACCAACTGATTTCGCTGACTGATAAACTAAGAGACCGTGTTTGACATTAGTTCACTTTGAAAATAAGCTTGCTACCATATGTCTTTTGTGCCACATTGATATAAAAATACACAAAGATTTGTATGACCGAATCAACCGAATATCATTGAGTCACAATACCCATCGAACTTCGCAACCAATATGCTACACTAGAACTTGACAAAATAAGAATCACTTAAGTTGCAATTCTGTCGAGAATATTAGCACGTATGTGGGCGCTATGAAACTCATTCTATTGTCCAACTAAAGACATTTTACCTGTTTGTAAGGTTGGACAACTAAACCAACAATTTCTTACAATAACAAAGTAAGGAAATATATTGAAGCCTTACTTTAGTAGGAAGTTATCTGTAAACTCCTTCCAATCGACCTTTCGATACATTGAAAAATTGTGATAGGCAACCCATGTCAAACCAACAACACCAAGTATAGCCCAAGAAGCAAGAGGCCATCCGCCAGGAGGGTCAGGCATTTTATTTCGAGAAAATGAAAACCGCAATTCAAGCTTTGCTAAAATAGATATTATCTTCATAAATACTTAAAACAGTATTACGAATATTAGATGTTTGATTATTCTTGCTTTCTCCAGGACGCGATGCTTTACCGGAATTCTCCTGAGTACGGAAACAAGAAGGCAACCGAAGTTTGAACGAGGAACTTATCAGCTTGTTTGACCTCCATGAGAGTAAAGACTTGAAGTTCTGTACACAAAGAAACCAAATTTCTTTTGGTTTAATTAGTATAAATAAATTAACGTTTTGTTATCGTTAAACAAGAAAAAGGGGACCACATTTACAAGTTCAATACTTGCAACCACGAACAGAACCTGCAGTATCAGTGTTAACCAAGCTGACCGACTACCAAGCTGTAATTAGAGGAATGAAATGCTGACTTGTGATCTTATACATTGAAATGAAAGTGAGATTTCAGGGAAAACTGAGCACCCCACGCAATGCAAACTAAAATTTCCTTGGTGTTTATAGGGATTTAGAACGAAGAAACATGGTGAGAGTAAAGTAGGTTCAGAAGAGGTATGTGTACGCATGATTTTATCACTTGTTGACATAAACTTATAGTTAATATAAGTTCCCAATATAATTCGTAAAAAAGTATCGTAATAAGGAATCAGTTGTCATCGTTTGTGTGCATTTCACTCAGTTACTCTGAGATCGTACAAAAATCGCTGTACATTTTACCACCCGGACCTTTTCCACATATACTACTCCGTTTTCTCTATCCGAGAGAAATCCGAAACATTATTTACTCCCCATTTGATGGCACACGGTTCTCTTAATGAACATTTATAGCTCATCTCATGCAAGAAAACCGGGTTATACGACTTTAATAAATCGATCACGAAGCATCAAGAGATACACAGATCGGGAGATTCACATATCTAAAAAAGTGAATGGTCCGAATGAGCAACGACGAGGATTTTTGTAATTTCGCATTTAAATTTTTGATAATCAACGAAAATGACTGCCCAGAAAAGTTTTCAAAATAGACGTAAATGGATGAAGGCCTTCAATTAGCAATCAGAAATTAAAGTTTCGGCGAATAATAATGCACTTCTATCTTGAGTGTATGTAGAAACACTGAGGTTTCACCCAATGGATACTCGTGAGTCTAATGGAGTATCTGAGGAGATTGTCAATCCTATAAAGTAGAAATCGTAACTGCAACTCGAACTGTTACTAGAGAACTGGAATTTATTTTGGCTGCAGTACATCTAATGTTAACACACAAATCAGATGTGGGGATATTGGTAAACTTTATCGCAAATAGTAGAAATTACCTTGGAACCCCACCACACAGGAGCAAACCTAATCATCAGACGAGCGACCTTGCCGAAATTAAAATTGGCCAAAGCGTGTTAATCGAGATGCATTAAAAAACTCTGATGCAATATATTTTATTTGTAATAAAAGATCGTAAATGGACTGACTTCTTTTTTCTTGTTTATCTGTGTTATATCATTGTTCCTGATCCAAAATGGTTATCCCCGTAGATAAAAAGGTGAACTCAGAGAATTGATGGAATTCCATCACTTTCGGTAAAAGAGAATCCATTAATACTGGCAAGAGATGATGTCGAAAGAGCTGAAGCTTTTTTGGAATATTTCAGTAGAGCGTTTTCTATCAGTAATGAGGAACGATCAACTATTTATTGTGATTTTTGGCGGCTTGCTGATGGACCCTGTAGTTAATGAAAAAGGTACATTCTATATACTACTTTAGCATATCAAGCCGATACGTCCAGCGGGCCTGATGATATTCATCCTAGGATTATGAAAGCCCTATCGCATGTAATTGCTGAACCTTTAGCCATGCTGTTTTATATGTCTCTTCGACAGTCCAAATCTCCCAGAGACCGGGAAGACGCTATGATTAGTCCGATGTGTAAGGCTTGTAGTAGAGACTTAGTTGATAACTATTGACCAGTTGGTTGAACTAGTGCACTTGTGAAAGTAATGGAAAGAATTATTCAGGTGTTTGTTACTAACTATGTGGAAGGGTATAATCTTTTATCCAGGGAACAACATTGTTTTCGGAAAGGCCTATCATGTTTGACAAGTCTTCTCATTGCAAGAGATAGAAGGCAAAAGATAGAAATATTCCTAGAGGTATGCTTTTCATAGATCTAAGCAAAGCCTTTGATAAGGTCTCTCATTCGAGTCCTAATTTAAAACTGGAAAGTTTGGGAATCCACCATAAGGTCATTGATTGGATAAGTGACTTCCTCCATGACAGGCTACAAAGGGTAAGGTTAAATGGAGCTCTCTCATCGTGAGAACCTGTAAAAGGTGGAGCTCCATACAGCGAAACCCTTGGTCTTCTTCTCTCTTTACTTTGTGTAAGTGAATCACCAGCTGTAGCAAAATCATCCATGTTACTCTTTGCCGATGACATAAAGATTTGGAGACCCATACGCAGCATGTCAGATAGAATAGTATCACAGGATGATGTCAACCCATTGGTGGTACGGATGGACGGATGGTCACTAGAAGAGAACCCTAACAAGAGTATGACGATGTAATTAAATAATCATGATGATTCGTACCACTACACAATATGTGGATTCGTGTTACCCAAAGTAAGAAACTATAAATATTGAGGAGTCATACTAAGCAGTGATCTCGAAACTGCTAGTCACTGTGAGACTGCTGCTGCAAAAGGCTATGAAGTACTATGGGCTGTTCATAGGTCTTCTCAGTATATGGATGAAGAAATGCTTAGTTTATTATACACAACTTTCGTGCGCCACATTTGGAAAGTGGGATTCAGGCAGTTAGTCCTTGTTTCACGTATGAGGCGGATATGCTGGAACTAGGCAAACGATGAGGAACTAAAATGGTAAAAGGTCTATCTGGCCTATGTTATGAAGACAGAACGAGACACTTCAACTTATTTCCGTTATCTTACCATAGAATACGGGGTGATCTAATATTGACTTATTGTATAATGAACGATGACCTTAGTATTAATATGTTTTATCTTTTCTTTCCATCTAGAACTGATCATTTGAGAGGATATTCAAAGAAAGTTTAAAAACCGAGATCGAATTGTCTACGTCTGGAGTTTAGTCTCTCTCACCGAAGAGTGAATTACTGGAATTCTTTACCAGAACACGTAATATCAGAACCTTATGGTTACATATTCAAAACGATGTTGGATCTCCTAAGTGTTACGAGCTGCAAGAATTAATATAGATCGGTAGACCTCCTATCTTTATTTCTGAAGACCAATACCATCAAACGTGAGTATTCCATCCACATGCATGTCGGGAACATGGTAGATTGGACAGTTCATCGATAGAACTTAAGAACAAGTGAATCACAGAAGGCCAGAAAATTTACTTTCTCTACTAATAGCGATGCTAAAGACATTATATTTATTCTAGGTAGTAGCATATCGTCAACTGGATAAATGCTCAAGAGTGTGATCAGTACCGCGAAGATAGGATGCTCAATTTGTATTTGTGATTTGGTTGATTGGAAAAGTAGTCAGAAATGATTCCAATCATTTCTGATCTGCTGAAGTCTCCATGACCAGTCCATTTTGTCACTTACGCCCCTTGCATTTTTTGTCATCCTTTGGCCAATTTGATGGCAGAACTTTCCACTTAATCTACAATAGTTTTATTCGTCCTTATTTAGAGTACGGAAACATAGTATCACCTCCCTCAATCCAAAAGGATAAGGACACACTGAAACGTATCCAATGTCTAGCCACGAAATCAGTCCCGAGAATCAGATTCAAGCCTCATGAAGAACGCTTCAACCGCTGGACCTTCACTCATTAGAGTGCAGGTGTCTTAGAGGTGACCTTCTACTGGCTTACAGAATTCTAAATCCTCCCGAACATTCTACTAAACACCTGCTTAAGCTTGGTCCCAACACAAACCTAAGGGGTAACACGGTGAACCTGTAGACAAAACAAGGCAGAACAGACTGTAGACAGAACTTCTACCGCTTAATTACTTTACTTTCGCCTGTTACTCCCAACGGAGCTGACCGCTGACCAGCATTCTCCAACCCACTCTGTCCTGGGCCTTCCTTTCTAGTTCTATCTAATTTTTGTTCATTCTTTTCATGTCTATCTCCATTTCTCTGCGTGATGTGTTCTTTGGTCTTCCTCTTCTCCTTTGGCCTTCAAGACTCCATGTGATAGCTTGCATTGTGACGCAGTTGGCTGTCTTCCTCAATGTGTGTCCTATCCACTTCCAGCTCTTCTTCCTGATTTCTTCCTCCACTGAAATCTGGTTTGTTCTCTCCCACTATAAAATGTTGTTGATAGTGTCTGGCCAACGGGTCCGAAGTATCTTGCGTAGACAACTCTTAATAAACATCTGTATCTTCTGGATGATGGCTTCCGTAGTTTTCCAGGTTTCCACCCCATACATTAAAACTGTCATGACATTTGTATTGAAAACTCTGATCTTGGTGTTGGTAGACAATTGTTTTGAGTTCTAGATGTTCTTCATTTGTAAATATGCTGGTCTTGCCTTTCCAATCCGTGCCCTCACATCTTCATCAGATACACCGTGTTCATCGATGATACTGCCCAGATATGTAAAGGTTTTAAATCCTCCAAAGCATCTCCGTCAGTTGTAATTCGATTGGTGCATATTGTATTGTATCGGAGAGTCTTGCTTTTCCCTTTGTTTATATTGAGACCTACTGCTGTTGAGGCTGCTGCTACACTGGTCGTCTCCTCCTGCATTTGTTGTTGCGTGTGTGATAGAAGAGCCAGATCATCCGCAAAGTCTAGATCGTCAAGTTGCATCCTAGCTGTCCATTGTATCCCGTGCTTCCCTCCAGATGTTGACGTCTTCATGATCCGCTCGATCACCGGGAGATATGGAAAAGATGAGAGTAAGCAACCTTCCCTAACACCGGTCTTTACCTCGAATGAGTCGGTGAGTTGTCCTCCATGGACGATTTGGCAGTTTAATCCATCATTGGAGTCCCGTATGATATAGACTATCTTCTCAGGCACGCCATAGTGTCGAAGAAGCCTCCATGGTGCTGTCCTGTCCACGCTATCAAATGCTTTCTCATAGTCAATGAAGTTGATGTAGAGTAATGAATTCCATTCAATTGATTGTTCCACAATGATTGACTGAAGAGTGATGCCCATGTAGTAAACACAATTGCTGAGATCGCCTTTCCTTGGCATTTTTACCAAAAGTCCTTCTTTTCAGTCTATTGACACTTGTTATTTATGGTGAAGAAGATTTGTAGCACAGATGGATGATTTTGTTGCTTCGTTCATCAGAAAATACTAGCCAAACCCATTAGCAGAAACAAAGTCAAGTATAGAAATCAACAAAAGGGTCACCCTATCATACATAAAAGGTATATCAGAAACGACAAGGAGACTGCCGAAAACCTTCGAAACAGGTGGTGTGCACAAACCAACAAAACCCCTCTATTCAATCCCATGCAAATCAAAGGATGAAATTACAAAGGAAAACAAACCTAACCTCATCGACAAAAAAACTACATCGGACAAAGCAGACGCGCTCTTCATCTTCGGGTGCATGTACGATTAACGGTCAAACGCCGTAACATGTCTTCACTTATATCAATGCATGTGGACAACTGCGGACACGCGTTCGACTGAACAGATTTAGGGTCGACAAGAACCGATCAACATCGAGGTGTACATGACAAGCTGTGAACCAAATGTGGAAAAATTCGAACACTCCACTTATACCCGAAGTTTGAGCTGATGATGTCGTCAGAAGGATGATGAAAGCTTCACGACCGAACCGTCTAACTCAGAGAACAAAACTCCATTAAAAACGTGTTCCTCATCCCAAATCTTACTGAAGAAGATGTGGAGTATCTTTGCAGTTGCTGCTACATCTGCTGTCAGTGCCTCTGCCGGAATGTTGTCTGAGTCCTGCTGCTTTGCCGCTCTTGATTTGTCTGATGGCGACGGTGATCTCTGCCATTGTTGGTAGGCCAACATCGATTGAGAGGTCCGTGGGTGCTACTTCGATGATGGGTGGGTTCAGTGGAGCTGGTCGATTCAAGAGTTCCTCGAAGTGTTCTACCCATCTGTTTCGTTGTTCTCCAATGTTGGTGATTACTTTTCCTTCGTTGCTTTTCACTGGTCTTTCTGGCTTATGTTAATTTCCAGCGAGTTTCTTTGTTGTATCATACGATTGTCTCATGTTTCATTCTCTTGCAGCCTTTTCCGCCGTCATTCCTAAATCTTCCATATATTTACCTTTGTCGGTTCTGATGCTTCTCTTCACTTGCCTGTTTACTACTGTGTATTCGGCTTGCGCGTAGGTTTTTTCTGCTCTTGTTCGACTGACATTGATTGCTGCCTTCTTGTTCCTACTTTCTTCAATTTTATCCACAG